GCAATGGAGGGAACGACTACGTCAGTGCAGCAGAGGACGGAACTGACCCAACCCCCACGCTGATAAAAGTTAAGGATGCCATTCAGCAGCTGAAAAACAACAAACCAGCTGGTAAGGATGGTATCCCAAGTAACATTTCAAGTTTTATCGAGGTTTTAAAGCATGCTACAAGTCTAAATCATGGTCTTCAGAACCCTAATAAAACCAAAATTGTTACTTGGGATCGCAGCCGAACTCATCAAGATGGGTCCAGAAAAGTTGGCCACCTGCCTGGACCAGATGATAGTCAGGATCTGGGAAACAGAACAGCTACCGGAGGAGTGGAAGGAGGGGGTAATCTGCCCCATTCACAAGAAAGGCAACCATTTGGAATGTGAGAACTTCAGAGCGATCACCATTTTGAATGCCTCCTACAAAGTGCTATCCCAGATCATCTTCCGTCGTCTATCACCTAAAATGACCGAGTTCGTGGGAAGTTATCAAGCCGGCTTCACCGACGGCCGATCGACAACGGACCAGATCTTCACCGTACGGCAAATCCTCCAGAAATCAGGGTTGCTTCCACTCACTTGCTTTAAAAAATGGTTTTTCGGAGTTATGAAATCATTAGATAATATAATGATATGTTGTACTTGTAAGTAACAAGAAGAGGGTGTAAAGTATGTGTTTGACTCATAAAACTGGTCAATTTCGCTTTCAGAGTGTCACAATCAGCGATCTTATGATTCGTGAGCGTTCACTCAGAGTGAGCGCTCACGAATCATATAATCGCTGATTGTGACGTACTGAAAGCAATAATGACAGATTGTATGTGTCAAACACATACTTCACGACCTCTTCTTGTAACTTACAAGTACTAATTAACATTATAAGATCTAATGATTTCATAATTCTGAAAAACATTTTTTTATAGCAAGTGAGTGGAAGTAACCCTGCCAGAAATGCCGTGAATACCAGGTCCCAACGCATCATTTGTTCATCGACTTTAAAAGCGGCATACGATAGTATCGACCGCACATAGCTATGGAAAATCATGGACGAGAACGGCTTTCCTGGGAAGCTGATCAGACTGATCATAGCAACGATGGACGGTGTGCAAAATTGCGTAAGGGTTTCGGGTGAACTATCCAGTTCATTCGAATTTCGCCGGGGACTGCTACAAGGTGACGGACTCTCATGCCTACTCTTCAACATCGCTCTAGAAGGTGTAATGCGACGAGCCGGGCTCAACAGCCGGGGTACGATTTTCACGAAATCCGGTCAATTTGCGTGCTTTGCGGACGACATGGACATTATCGCAAGAACATTTGGAACGGTGGCAGAACTATACACCCGCCTGAAATACGAAGCAGTAAAGGTCGGACTGGTGGTGAGTGCGTCAAAAACAAAGTCCATGCTAGTAGGCGGAACCGAACATGACAGGATTCGTCTAGGAAGTAATGTCACGATAGACGGGGATACTTTCGAGGTAGTGGAGGAATTCGTTTACCTTGGATCCTTACTGACGGCTGACAACAATGTGAGTCGTGACATACGAAGGCGCATCATCAGTGGAAGTCGTGCCTACTACGGGCTCCAGAAGAAACTACGGTCAAAAAAGATTCACCCCTGCACCAAATGTACCGTTTACAGAACGCTAATAAGACCGGTGGTTCTCTATGGACACGAGACATGGACTATGCTCGAGGAGGACCTGCAAGCATTCGGAGTTTTCGAGCGACGTGTGCTAAGAACGATCTTCGGCGGTGTGCAGGAGAACGGTGATCTGTCGCTTGTTTTCTGAGAAGTTCGCCAGTGTTTTCACGAATGAGAGATTAACTGACGAACACGTTACCCTAGCAGCTAGTAATGTTCCACTGTACGGTCAAACACTGGGTGCGATGGATGTCAACGTCGAGATGATTTCCACTGCCGCATCACAACTCAAGTCGTCCTTCAATCCAGGACCCGATGGCGTTCCATCCGTATTCCTGAAAAAGCATATCGCCAGCTTGCTGATGCCCATGCTTCACCTATTTCGATTGTCCATCTCGAGTGGTACATTTCCATCTTGTTGGAAATTCGCACATATGTTTCCTATCCACAAAAAGGGCAGCAAACGGGATGTGGACAATTATCGTGGAATTACGTCGTTGAGCACAGTTTCGAAGTTATTCGAGTTAGTCATCATGGAGCCTCTACTCTCTCATTGTAAGCAGTATCTAAGTGGTGATCAACACGGCTTCACTTCCGGTCGTTCTACTTCCACAAATCTGCTGTGTTTGACATCGTATCTTACGGAAAGCATGGCAGAGAGGACTCAAACAGACGTCATATACACCGACTTGTCAGCTGCCTTCGATAAGCTAAACCATGCCATCGCGATTGCCAAGTTGCATAGACTTGGGGTCAGCGGCAACCTCTTGCGATGGTTTCGTTCATATCTCACTGATCGGCAACTGATGGTTGCCATTGGTGACAACCGGTCCAATATATATCTAGCTACGTCAGGAATACCTCAAGGAAGTCACCTGGGACCTTTGATTTTCTTACTCTACTTCAATGACGTGAACTTGGTCATCGAAGGCCCACGACTATCGTATGCAGACGATCTTAAAATCTACCTACGAATCCACTCGATTGATGACTGTCACTTCCTTCAACGTCAGTTCGAAGCCTTTGCCAGCTGGTGTAATTTGAACCGAATGGTGGTTAACCCCACTAAGTGTTCAGTGATCACTTTTACTCGGAAGAAAGAACCAATCACATTTGAATACAAACTTATCGGCACTGTAATCGACCGTGTGAACCATGTGAAAGATCTGGGTGTTATTCTAGATTCTGAACTTACGTACAAGCAGCACATCTCGTACGTTGTCGACAAGGCGTCTAGGACGTTGGGATTTATCTTCAGGATAGCAAAGAATTTCTCCGATATCTACTGTTTGAAGTCACTGTACTGTTCCTTGGTGCGATCCATTCTGGAATATTGTTCTGTGGTCTGGAGTCCAAACTACAACAATGGTGCTGAGAGAGTTGAGTCCGTTCAACGCCGTTTTCTTCGATTCGCTCTGCGGAAGCTGCCTTGGAGAGACCCATTTCATCTGCCCAGCTATGAAAGTCGTTGTCAGCTGATTGATCTGGAGCCTCTCCGAACTAGAAGAGACACCTCTAGGGCCCTGTTCATTGCGGACACTTTACAAGGTAGAATTGATTGCAGTGCAATCCTGGGGCAAGTCAACATTAACGTCCAACCCCGTGCGCTACGTAACAACGTTATGCTGAGATTGCCACTTCAGCGCACAAACTATGGCATGAACGGTGCAATAGGTGGGCTGCAACGAGTGTTCAATCGAGTCTCGGGCATCTTCGATTTCCATATGCCTCGACAGCTGCTACGAAGATACTTCTCATCGTTCTTTTCTGGCACAGTTAACCGTGAATGATTGTGTGTTTTATTTATGTATTTTATTCTTAGTTTTTATTTTTTGATTTGATTTTTACCTATATAAGTTACTTAAATCATCATTGGGGCTTTACACAGCCTGTTGATGCAGACAAATAAATAAGAAATAAATAAATAAGAGTGGCGGCGAAGAATGAACCACGAGCTCGCTGCACTCTACGGCGAACCCAGCATCCAGAAGGTGGCCAAAGCCGGAAGGATGCTGTGGGCAGGGCATGTGCAAGAATGCCGGACAACAACCCTGCAAAGTTGGTGTTCGCTACTGATCCGGTTGGCACAAGAAGGCGTGGAGCGCAGAGAGCTTGATGGGCGGACGAGGTAGAGCGTGATCTAGCGAGCATTGGGCATGACCGAGGATGGAGAGCTGCAGCCGCAAACCGAGTATTGTGGCGTACTATTGTTGATTATGTCTTATCTTAAATGTGATGTAGTACACATAAATGTATGTATGTATGTATGTATGTTGGTACAATAAAACTCCTGAAAAAGCGCATGGGTTTTGTAGAGTATTAGAAAAGATTTTCATAAAGGAAGCTGACAAAATCGGGTCAATACTGTACTGTATCACATACAGGCTAGCCCTACACTTTGTGTATATTTGCTCTTTGCAATTTCATGTTCATGTTATGTCTAAAAACATTGATTCATAAACCGTATTCTTCGATTTAACATTTTTGTTTTTGGCAACACGACCTTATCATCTATTCCTTTCATAAAATTTGTGCAAGTGCTTCCTGAACAATTTTTCTATAAATATCAAGTATAAAAGATCTCCAAATAATGGTCTCACAAATAGAATAAAGCGGACATCACTGAAGCACACTGTATTTATTTATTTATTCTTTGGTTTATGAAATCTTTCCTGAACTTAGAGTATCATCAACCGGTGAGAATTAACGATTTTAAATTGGCTCACTACTTGACTAGCCTATTTGTCCCAAGCAAATCGATTAACGTACCCCATTCCAGTCGAAATTCTAGTACTACACTATGTTTGTTTTGATTCGCTATGAAAGTTTGACAGATATAATCAGGGGCTCATGGATTTTCCTTTGTTTTGAGGGGTGCATCGATTAGCTTGGAACTGAAGAGAGTACTGAACCAAAAAAGTTGAGCACGTTTCTTCGGGACCTTCTGGTCTTAGAGTTACCTCTATGGTATCATTGCGATTGACACACAATATGTAAATTCAATGAATGGCTACCATATCAAAAATAAGAGGCTGTTCATAAACAACGTAGACTATGCAGGATGAGTTGGGAAGAGGGAAAGCCCACAAATTTATATAAACAATTGTTTACACCCCCTCTATACTCAACTCCCATTTCAACCTCTCCAAAACGGCTTATGTAGTTTATGAACAGACCTCGACTAAGTGATGAACCTGCCCACAGCTAACAATCACTATAACAAAGTTAAAAAAAAGTTTACGAACAGCCCCTAACTACAACTTTTACCTAAAGCTAACAGAGAATGTAAGAAAATAACCACTCCAAACAGCAAAAAAGAAAACGTGGTCAATCAGAGCAATAATCGTTTCATTTCCCATTTTCAGAATCCGTTACCGGGCAAGAGTTGAAAATTCGCCCTTCGAAGGTCGTTGCCGGTCTCGAGCCGGATAAGACGAATGAACTATTGCAAGCGATTGGCTACGCACTCGACAAGAAGCTAGACAGCACAAGTGCTGTGGAAGCCTACACCAAACAAGGAACGGCTAGTGGGACCGGAAACGCAAATAATGAAACGGTGGTCACGAATGGTGCGAAGAACAAAGAAGATAAAAAGGAAGAAAAGAAAAAGGACGAGAAGAAAAGCAACGACAAAGAGAAGGATAAGATGAAGGAAAAGGAAAAGACAAAGGATAAGGAGAAAGAAAAGGATAAATCAAAACCAAAAGAGAAAGAGCGAACAAAGCGAAGTAGTGATGCAGTGAAAGATGAGTCAAAAACTAAGAAGGAAAAATCCGACAAAACTAGCAAAAGTAAGGAAAAAGACAAAACTTCAAGCACCATTAAAACAGAGAAACCAAAGGCCAGTAAAGTTGATGCCAAACCGACAAGTGATCGAAAAAAGTTGGAGAAGCAAAGATCGAAAGAAAAGGAGAAAAGTTTGAAGCGATCAGATTCGATCAAGGAAGAACCAACAGCGGCGAATGCAAAACAACAGTTGCACAACATTGCAGAATCGAGCATTGAAAACGATAGTAAAGATTCACTGAAGGAGGCTCAAGAAGTTTTGGAAATGAATGGTAAAAAACCTACTACTCCTGCCGAGGATGAGATGATCGCCGTGATAGACGAAGAAGCAGAATTACGGCGGGCTGAGAAAAACTCCAGCCGGAGATCATCACTGAAAAAACAAGGGAGTTTGACTGCAAGTGAAAACAATGCTCTCGGTGACTTGAACCAATACAATGGCCTAGAAGTCCAAGGTCCAAGTCGACAAAATAGTGTTATCATGGGAGAGCCCATTAGCAGACATGATTCGGATCCAATCGAGCCAATTGCTAGCGAGAGGATATCTGCAAAACCACCGATGAATCGACAACAATCGGTAGACAGCGTTATGAGACCGAGAACTAGTCTACGGCCACCGAGTGTTCGACCGCCTTCGGCAAGACCTGGAGCTCCTCGACGAAAAGAGAAAAACGTTGAGATAGTCCTACAGCCAAACGAGACAACGAAGTTGGGTGAGATCAACGTTAAAATGGAGGTGTTCAACAATGAATTATTGGACGATGATGGTGAAAATCTAATCGTTATCGAAGATCCAACTCAGGTGGGCGATGTGTACAGTGGAACGCAACCGGATCTTGCTGAGGCGAAGGAAGAGCAGGAACAAGGTCATCTAGTTCAGCAGATCCTTGAGACGCAGAAAGAGTTCTCGAACATAGCAGGTGCAGAAGTGAACCCGGAGGTCCCTAAGAAAGTGGATGTTGTAAGTGCATTTAAGTGGGTAATTACACAGTGTAAAATACTATTAAGTAATACTTGGTTCATAGGAATGGAGCGCTAGTCAACGACAATCCTCTGTGAAACAGATGGAAACCTTAAGGGAGTCAATCCAAAAATTGACACGATCGGTGAATCCCCTGGGGAAGCTAATGGATTTCATTCAGGAAGATATGGATTCCATGGAGCGGGAATTGATCAACTGGCAGCAGATGTACTCGCTAGCAATTGTCGATCTGAACAAGGAACGAAGGTAATTGATATAGTTGAAAATGAAGTAACTAGAAATAATAAGCTTTCCTTTTCCAGCGTAAACGAAAATGCAATCGAGCCATTGAAGCACCAGTTGGCGCAAATTGAGACCAACATAAAAGAATACCGAGATATGGTGGACGTAACGAGGGCGAATATCCTACTAAACGAACAGAAAATTGAGAGGTTATATATGACAGAGATTTAAAAGTGATTTGTTTTTTATAGATTTATTAATTCAACTTAATAAAAAAGAACAATATATTGAGTTTTATTGTGAGGCACTAAATTTGAGACGATACAATCTAGATTGTCAAAGGTAAAGTCATCCTTTGTATATTTGATTTCAATAAATTACAAGTCAATCACATTAATACATAATTATGTTCTTTTGGTAATTTATTTATATCGCAACTAACCTATACGATTAAATGAGAAAAGCAGCGATCAACTGTAAAGAAACTTTAATTTAATGGATGATTTATATGGATCACAGGATTGATCATCTTCAATTAATCACTTAGTCGAGCGGTTTAGTTAACTTATCTGGAAGGCAAAGGGGTCTCATTAATATCTTATGAACGGATCAAATGTAGAACATATTTGATAGGGTGAGGGTATTTAGTTTTATATTAATAAGATTTACAATTGGGAACTTTTAAAAAATAACAAGATTGTTGTGCTCATTCACTTCTCATACGCTGAGCACTAGCTGGCGTTGCTAGATCGCAGCTCCTATCTCCATTTACGCTGCAGTTCTGACATAATCTGCGTGACTGTTGACGGCATTCCAAGTGCCCTCGACACATTTCATCGAAGACATTCTCCACGTTAAGGACGAGCATCCCAGACAACCAGAATGCACGTATATTCAAAGTTATTTTCGTTATATACAAACATATATTCAAATAAACAATTCGTATAGAATGCAAATAAATGGCTTATACGTACAAAAGTTGAGGCCATATACGGGCATATTTTAATTTAATTTTAAACTAGTTGATTTAACATCATATACGATTTAATCTGTAATAACAAGTTCATTTTGCAATGTCTTACGATGTAATACGATTTAATTTGTGATACAGTACGACGGAAAAATGAGTCATCGTAAATAAGTCGGAAATTTGCAATCTATACGACTTAACTTAAACATAATGTAAGGTATGCCATTCTTATATGCAATTTTGACTTAAACTGTAACAATTTACGATACTGTCTGTACATTCTTATACGACTTCTGGTTGTCTGGGATCTCCTTTCGCACTGGCTCGAACCTTGGACAGTCGAAGGACCACATGGTCCGGCATTTCATCCACGTTGCTATGCGACTAACCTTGTGAAGAGCTGGGCCGAAAGTGAGTGTAGAGTTGCCCGTGTGTGTTTATGAAGCGTTGCCATAGAGACCTCTGTCTACCGACATTGAACTATTGCGCTTTCAACGGGAGGCTGCACACACGGTTTGCTGAGCCGTTAAGCCTCAAGTTAAGACCTGCTTACGCTAGTGCTAATATATGCCACACAGTTGCCACACTCCGGATGTATTACCTATTGCCATACTCCGGAGGTATTTCCTGTATTAGGTGGAAATTGACTTCACCGCGTTTTATGTTCACCCAGTTCGAAAGAATCGGTATTAGTCTATGTGTCACCGTTCTCCACCGTGTTCCACTCCTGTTACCACTTAGCTAACGACTCCGATCTCATCACTTTCCGTACTCTTCCGGCTTCTCTCCACCATGGTGATGTTGATAAGGATCATTCCGGCTATAACGCATACTACTTCCGACGAGGTTCTGTACGCACTCACGACTCGCATGGCTATCGCGTTGATGGCTTTCGAAGCCTTCTCGCAGGCATATTTGACGTGGTTGTTGATGTTTAGCCGATCATCGATCATCACTCCCAGGTATTTCATAACACACGCTTCGAGCGTATGGCGGTGATTTCTGCACCGCTTTACATTATTGACCAATAGCACTTCCGTTTTTTTGTGGGCTATCTACAGCTTTGCTCCTTGCATTCAGTTACCACCAATCATGTCGATCGCCTCGGTTGCCAACATCCCAAGTAACAATCTAAATGCTTGGAAGATTTATTCTTATTTTATCATTGTTTTATCATAGCATCCCTTCCAGCCTGTGGTTGTATTACGGTTTTGTGTGCTTGTCATAAAATCAGGCCGTCAAGTCGTCTATAAAACTGTTTTATGACTACTAAATTAAAACTCAGACTTCATAGTTTTAACGGTAGCTGTAAGGTGGTTCTGCATCACTACTTATAACTGAAGAATAAAACCAAAACAAAACATACACTTATGTTTTATGGTACACTTTTTATGACCGATATAAAACTTGAAGCAGTCTTAGACCTTCATTAAAGCTTCATTAAAACTATCATCTTTATCAGAGGCCTAAGATTCACAGATAATAAATATACTGCTACAACAAAAAATACTCTGAAATTTTTTGTCATTATAAAAAAACAAATCTATTCAGATATATGAAATGAAAACCCCTTCAGTGCTTCTGAACACGATGAGGATGAGACGATCGACAATATGAAACTCCTGGAGGAACTACAGTTATACGATCCCTACATAAGGCACAGTGCGGTGAAGGAGCTCTTAAAAATATTGAACAAGCGGCTTTCCGATACACTTCCGAAAGATCCACGAATCCTTCTTAAAGCAACGCCGACAGTTTCACTAAATCCGTTTGGAGATGGCCAGTATTGACATCACGGCTTTAAACCTTGTATTGAAAAAGCTGTGGATCCAATAAGCATTTCTTACATCTTGATTACAAGCGAAAATAGGAGGATCGCTTGGAATGTTGACTTTTTGACAGGTGGTCATGGTTTTTGTTTTGTTTTGATTCGCTGTACCGAATAAAACCAGCAAGCTAGTTATATAGCTTAAATATAACTTAACGCTCTCAATTTGGACTACGAAATGCTAAGATACAACCATTAGGTTTATGTTATGCTATAGAATTCCAATCTAGGAGAATATGTTATATTGAGATATTTTTAAGTAGTAGCAAGTTATAACGAAAAAAAATGTCGCCGTATGAACAAATTTCACACAGTATGAATAATTACGCTTTAAGGGGGTATTCCCGATCTTTTTTTTCAAAAAATCAAATTTTTTTTTTCACGTTTTTTTGTACTTTAGACTATATACTTTCATCCCCCCAAGCCGTTTTCCGATCAGCGAATTCGGTGTCCAGGCATAGCTGACTAATGGTAAGAACCCCCAAATGGTTTTAACTAAAGTCAAAACTTTAAACGCGTTTTTCTCGAAACCACATTTTTTTTATCGGGCGAAGATTTTTCTCAGAAACTATAAGAGATATTGACTTGAATCTTTGCGCATTTTGTTCCTTATTAAATTCTTTGGAGCTTCTCCCACTTTCAGCCAAAAATATTAACATTTAACATTGTTTGAAGCACCTTAAAGCTGCAAAAAAGCGGGCTAAAAATCGCCTGTTTTTTCATATGGCCGCCATTTTGTTAATTTGCAAGATTTTTTGCTGCCAACGGGAGAAGCTCCAGAGAATCTTATGCAGATTATAATTTCATCACGAAATCTGTTTCAGATGAAGCCGTTCCAGAGAAAAGTCTTCGCCCGTCCAGGCGTTTGCGGCGAACAGGGGTCTGTTTGCCACCATTTTGTGACGTCAATAATGTCTTTTTTTATGTCGAAAAAAATTTATTTGTAAACTTTAATGTTCAATAAACAAGAATCCCAAAGAGTTAGGCGCATTACTATTCATTTTCCTTGAAAAAAAATTAATTGAAAAACAGGCCGAAAAAAGGCAAAAGATTGGGAATACCCCCTTAATTGATAGGCAATAAAACACTTTCATACATCTATGTATAATTATATAATATGTGACTGGTTATTGCTCAACAGTAGTAACAGTTTTGTACTTAATAGATAATCTTTGAATGACTCTTTAATGCATGGTGCTAATGCAGACAAATTCACCCTTGAGAGGCGGGATCTGCGGCAAATCAGCGGATACAGATATCTAACCAAGGCAGAACACTTGACTATAGTTTTCTCTACATGCGAACGGAAGAGGAGCTTTTCATCAAACAACATCCCGAGATAGGTTACTTCGGCAGACCACTCAACCCTTGTGCCATCTATGATTACAGTACAATATGGAGCCGGTTTCAGTTTGGGCGATTTCCGATGGAGGATGTTTTGGGGCATTGATTTTGATTTTCCACGTGGTGGCATAATCAGCAAAGGCGTCAAGGCATCGTTGGAGCTTGTTTGTTATTTCGCGAGGCATTCTACCCTTGACGGTTATTGCGGTATCATCTGCGAACAGGAAGAACACGCATCTGTTTCCGGGGGAGGAATGTCAGAAGTGTAGATGCTTTAAAGCAAAGGACCCAGCAGACTGCCTTGCGGAGAACCTGCTGAGATGGAAAACGTGTCTGAAAGACAACCATTCAACGATATCTTAAACGACCTTTGCTGCAGGTAGTTACGGGTGATTTTAGCCAGATGTAATGGGAAGTTGAAGTTACAAAGCTTGTACACAAGTCCGTCATGCCAAACATTTTCAAACGCCTTTTCAATGTCTAGCAAGGCCATAGCTGTGGACTTGGATACAGCTTCATTACTTTGGATGTTATTCATCACCCGTACTAGCTGGCGATTGGAGGAGTGCCCCTTCCTGAACCCGAACTGATCCGGTAGGAGAATGTTGTGTTCCTCGACAAACGAGCAAACGATTGAGAATAAGTTTCTCGAACAATTTGCTCAGTGCTGAAAGGAGGCTGATTGGTCTGTAGCTTGAAGCTAGCGTTGGGTCCTTCTCGAGTTTGCGGATAGGTATGATTTTCGCTACCTTCCAGATGCTTGGAAAGTAGTGCAGTTCCAAGCATCTGTTGAAGACAGCAGCCAGCAGAGAGTGAACCTTCATGCTGAGATTTTTCAACACTAGGTTGAATATTCCGTCGACCCCGGGGCCTTCATGGTTTTGGTGCATTTCAGCGCTGAGCAAATCTTTTCCACTGTGATTCTATCCTCCGGAGGGATAGCACAACGGGAGGAATCAAGGTTGAGTACGCATTGCTCAACCTGAACTTCGAGCGGACTTTGGATGTTGAAGCCAAGCAAGAGCGATTTGGCAATATGCTCACCAATCGCATTTGCTTTCTCCTGAGGGGTGATTATTAGCCGATCGT